AAGAGAGGGTATTTAGGGTTTTTGAGGGTGAGGGGCTAGTAAGGAGGCTAGGTTTGAGCTATAATGGGGGTATTTATATATCTTAAACCCTTAAAATTAGGGTTTTGGAATATGCTAATGTACGTTGCGCATACGTGCATGTGTCCCCCGCATCCAATGCGCCTCTACGCCCCACGTACACCAAGGCTACGCCTAGCGTACGTCTTATGGGCGGCCCAAATCCTTGGCCCACTTGCTTAAGTCCACACCCATAGTCCTTTTTATCCATATTTAGCCCAATAATAATATAATAAATATTTAATCATTAATACCTCAAGTGACGGTCGTTGCATGATTGGTCTCCAAAAAACAACTAATGGATGAGTTAAAGACCATGCTCATCCCTAGTTCATACAATATTTTGTTACATCCCCTACAACATATTTTTTAACAATACTATCTTATGGTCGAAATCAATTCCTTACATACCCTTTTAACCCACAAATTATTAAATGTTATGTTTTTTGCGGAATAAATCTACATACCACAATCTTGACAATATATACTAGGACACCGTATGTAGTTTTTTGCATTATTCACCAAATCTTGTTCTGTAACTCTAAGGAAACCACTCAAGCATGCCAAATATTCATCACTTACGTTTAATTATATGAATCCAATAAATATGCCCCATTTATAATCACATCAACCATATATCAATAACATGCATGTAGGAAAACAAAAACTTAAGTACATTGTATACCTAATACTAAGATAATCTTACAAAAATATGATTGAGTGCTTGAAAGCGATAAAAAATACATTATTTCCATTTGCTAGACAAGATTAGAATGCATTTGTTATGATTCAATAAGTTCACGTAACATATGTGTAATATTCAAACGAGCAACAAATAAAATAAATCAAGTAACATAATGAGTCATTATTATTATTATCGAAGTGAATACAACGAATCAACCGATTAAACCAATTAGGCAATGTACCGATTTTTTATTATTTTGATTTGGTTTATACAATAAAATGACTTATTCATTCATTTTGTTTGGTAATTTGAAAAACAAGTATGAATGGAATGAAATCTCGAGATACTAACAAAAAATACCCTCACAATAAAAATGATAATGACTATAAATTTTACAAGAAGAGACAAAACTTTTACTCCATTAAAATATGTTGTGCCATATAGTTTTGACACGAAGGCGGGAATACTTTCACTATTTCCCGCCAAAACATCATCATCTAAACCTATAACTTAATTCTCTTTTTCCAATCGCTAGTCCAACCACTCACATTTCCTATCCAGAATGTGATGGATCTGCTTGATCCACCATTCATTATCGTTAATGGGTGAGCTGCTCCAATTCCCCATCGATACCTCCGAAAATCTCCACCATTTTCGATTTCCCCTGATCTCCTGTCATTGTGTTCCTCTAAATGTGTCTCAAAGTAGTCAAGAGAGAAGTTATCCAAGAGAATACCAATACTTGTCTTGTAGCTAACAATCTTCTTGTTTCTATTGAGCATCTCGATTTTGTACATGATAAATCAACAATAAACTTGTGTTGACATATGTTATCATAAGTTGTGTGGAATTTCAAAGGAAGTGTAAAGCTATTAAAAGTAAACACTTAACTGAATAACAGATACACATCAAGTTCGTTTTGGTTTCTTTTCCTATGCTAATATAGTAATAAGTAAATGCTTTTTTCTTCCCTCTGATATTATGTATCCGTTAATGGTGGATGCAATAAACTAAATAATCCCACGAAGTAATGGCAATTATGCTCCAAAAAATAATTTTATCGTTATCTAATAAGTTTAAAATTTTAATTTTTGTTTCACGATATGCTCAACTTTGAAATTGGTGTTTTGTTTTGGTGATAATCTAATTTGTTTTTCTAGAGTAAGGTTCGAATCTTATTTGCTTTTTGATGGTACTTGTTATGTTCTAAAATTAATAATTTTTTTTACTAGTTTTGGTTTTAATGATAGCGCATCTAATTTAAGTTACAAGGATATGCAATATATATGTGACGGTGTCAAGCCTTTCATAAAACACGGTTTCGTTCTACAAATGGGTTATATTAATGTATGTAAAAGGACTCGGTTATTAAAGAAGAAACTGAGCTATTTACATATAAAATAAGACCCGGTTCATTGCTAGAAAGAGGGTCATATGATCTTTCTCTTCATTAAACCCGGTTTTGGAGTAATATAACCTGGTTTTTTCAATAACCGAGTCTTATATACCGAGTTGCGTTTTTTGTAGTAGTGCCAGTACCAAAAACCGGTACCGGTGATGTTAATTCAGTTCGGTTTTCAGAATTAACTTTTGATAAAATTCGGTTTTTGGAAAATCAGAAATAGTACTGGTCGGTACCGATTCTGTCCCACGCTCATCCCTGGTCTTAACACTTAACAAATGTATTCGGCATTTATACAGCAATGGGACGGTGCTAGTTTTGAGATAGAACAAACTAAGTGGATTGTAGTCTGGAAAGTAAAGAACTTCGGCAACGAAATCTCTATTCACACACATATTCAGGTACATGGCATGCCTTTTTGAGTAACAAAATTTAATTGAGGGAGAAAAACTTGGTAGTAACTTGCTACATTATGTATAAAAACCAAGGTTGCAAAACAAGTTCAACGTTAGCTAGTCGGTGGATTGAGGTCAAGGGATTAATCGGTAAGGCGGAGATTAATCGGGTACCATTAATTGCTGATTTGTTGAATTTTAAAAAAATAAATATGACTAATATCATATCAAAGTTCGTAGATACCATTAATATGATAACAAAATAGGTTAATATGATTAATACAACACTAATCATGCCTCAAATAGTTTCCATTGAGATAAAACTTCTTCAAAATGTTAAAATTTTATTGTTTTATAATGTTTCACTCACTATGTATTCACGGATTAACCGCTAGACGCCCTCTAATCGGTCAAGTAGCGCCTAGGGATTAATCGGAACCTAATCGAGATTTTTACAACGGTGATAAAAACTACTAAAACAAGGAATCTATAACAATTAACATCAATAAAAAATTTCAAAATTCAACAAATTCAGCTAAATCACTTAACAGTATAGTTGGTTTGGAGTAATGTTAGAACGAATAGGATCATATCAGCAATGACTTTTAAGGTTTTCCATGTAGTACTTCTAAAAAGTCTTCTCAGTGAAATTAATATGTTAGGCCAGAAACGATTGCAATAGTCATCTACTTTTGTCCATTCCTGAGAGTAATAAAAATCTCGAAGTACAACACCATTGCAAATATTGTTGAAGAGATTTCACTCGCCACCACCACCACCACCACTGGCTGCTGACCCATCAATTGACAATGACCAAATTATTAGTGACTTGCAGAATGGTTCGGTTGATTAAATAATGAGGTTCGTGAATGTCACAAGTAGTTGCGGACTTAGAAGAAGCGTTTACCAGAGCTTGAGGTTACTTTGGTCATGGTTCTAAAACTTATCAATAAGACTCTTAAAGATAATGTTGGTACCTCGAAGGGGATGATGATACATTTTTAATTATTTCATCGTTTATGGTCATTATGTCATAAGTACACCCGAAAAGCCGTTGAATGTTAGCCCTGAACAGCCGCTGAATGACGGCCCTAAACAAGCGCTGAATGTTAACCTTGAGCAACCGTCTCCGGTTATTCGCTCATCGGATGTATTAGAGATTCTGTTGGATGAATACAAAACACTAGCACAAGCACCTCTTATGCATTCTAAATGCCAAAAAGTTATGTCCATATGATATTAGTCGCCATGGATACAAATGAAGAGGAAAGGTGTTGCACTGCAACAACCTGCACCGCTGGACAATCTTGTAGATCGTACTGTACACATTATATATAAAGAACAAGATGGTTTGTTGTTGTTTGCTTACAATTATTTGACCGATTTTGCGATGCTTGAGTTTTGAACGCTGTTATATGCGGATAGTGATATAGGATGGTTGTCATGAGATATAAGTAATATAATTAATTGTTTATTACATACTACATTTCTAATAATAATACTTAATTTACTGCAAAAAAAATTAATTTGCAGCACATCATGATGTGGATCTCATTGTTGATAGAGTGTAGAACGGATGGTAGTCGGTGGACGATTGTACCGTTAGCTTTCAACAATGATACATATGATTAGAATGACATGACTGACGGGTCCGTTTACCCAACTTAGGTAGAGTGTGATACAGTATAATTTTTTTAGATTACATTACTATAGCATTTATAACTAATTAATTGTTTCTAACCTTTTTTTTGTAGCTTTACATCCCAATCAACATACCGCAAACTCATTGGTTTTTAGGTTATTTGGATTTGAAAACATTCAAAATAACTATATACGATAGTAGTTGGAAAGACGACCACTTTTCGGAAAATGCAAATTTGTTTATAGGTCTGAAAGCTTACATCTACAAAGTGCTAGTAGGAGTCAACTAATGGGTTACCGAACCAATTGATTCAATCCCAATTGTGAGCTTCAAGGTCACCCTCGAAAAGTCCTCAGACATACGAAAACAGATTGACAACAGAGGAGATTATACGAAAACAGATTGACAACAAAGGAGATTATGAGGTGTTTTTGTGTTAGTTTATGTATTTATTAGTTTGTTCATTTTAATTGCATTTTATATTTTATAAAACCAAAAGTTATACATTTTATAAAAGCAAAACTTTTACATTTAATGAAAGCAAAACACATGAAAAAAAAGTGTAATCTATTCCGGAACCGTGGTGCGGAATCATACCACGGAATTCCGGAGATCTCTCCGCAACAATGTGTTCCGGAGAATAAATTTACTTTACCAAAAAAATGTATGGTCATTTATGTCAAAAAGATGGTTAATAAGGGTTTTATACTCGATTACCCTTTAAATGTTAATAAAGGCGTTAATAGTAAACTTTCCGATAATATTTAAAAAAAAAAAAATGAATCGCTTGGAAACAAATATATTAAGACAAGAAAAGCAGCTGGATGTCGGAAATGATGCAACGAATATGAAACAGAACAACCACCACACAATCTTATAGCTAGTAGAAGAAAAACAACACCTGACAGAAACTAGTAGAGGAAATGCTAACCAGCCAAACAGACGACCATGCTAGAAATAATACAATTAGACAACTAATCTCCTTCAACACAGGGAATTAACAAGAAAAATCAAACACCAATAGCACTCCAGTACATAATTAACACCTTCGAAACCCACCCACATTCTACAAAGGTAACAGTAATGCAACCAATCGGAGGCAACGCCAAGAGAACCAACTATCAGCTAAACTTCAACAGCAACCAGATTAAAATGACCAAAAGTATCCCTAGAAGCAACAACAAAAAACGGAATATGTAAGCTCAAAAGAAAATTTCAAAACCCAACAAGTTGAGAGAACTTACTTTAGTCAATCTTCAAATTGGTCTCTAACATCTCAAACATTTCTAACAGTATAGATAGTCTGAAGTAACGTTAGGGTGAAAACGATGATAGCAGCAATGACTGACAACGTTTTCCACGTAGTACTTCTATAGAGGCGATTCAATAAAATTAATATGCTAGGCCGGAAACGCTTGCAATATCTATCCAATTGTCTCCATTCCTCAGTGTAATAAAATTCCCGAAGGACAACACCTTTGCAAATATTGTTGAAGAGATTCGTAACATCTTCGATGGCTCCCAGTTTATGTTGAAGGACTTTTGCTCTCACAAGCAACGAAACATCATCTTTAGTGTCAATAAGCCTGTCCATGAGGAAGGCGAAAGAGGTAACATAATGACGACTGAATGGGTAGCACTGTTCATAGGCAATGAGATTCCTCAAGAACGACGCGGTGGTGTCTTTGATGCATAAGACTGGAATTTTGAAACAGGTTTCTCTAACAAATAGAGCACCCAACCCCGGAACAACAGAGGGTTGTATAAATTTCACTGCTAGCGGAGAATATTCTTCGGTTTGTGCCTTGAATTTGACTCCCGCACGAACTATTTCAGTTGCAGAGTAAGAGATATTTGGAAATCGGCCACGCATAGTAGCTCCAGGCCTGTAGCAGCGTTGAAGAAGGCCAAGGATATGACAAGGCTCTACTGTGTCTGTTCCATCAATTGTGGTAAGTTGGCTATTATTTATGATATTCATGTCCTTGAAGAAATAAAAGACAAGGTCAGTTAACGAAGTGCAATCAAAAATATTGATCGTAAACAGTTTTTCAAGGATAAAGAAAGGCATTTGATTTTCTAGAAGCAGCAGGTCGTGTTGAATGTCGCGCATCACCAGAATATTGTCGAAAATTGGATCACCCTCTCCAATTCCATACTTGAACGTGTAGAGAAGTTCAAGTATAAAACAACCATCAATAACCATCATTTCAGCCAGCTTGAAATCTTCATAGTTTGTAAGACTTGGTGCATAGCATGCTCTTGCACGTGTTAGAAGCCCAAGCAATTCTTGTGCGCAATCATAACTTATTTGCTCTATAGCCTTCCCCGTGGTTTCCTTAGTTCGAAGAAATAGTCTATACATGTAAGTCACTTTTTGCACCTCAATAGCTCTTAGATGTTGGTTCTCTTTGTGAAGAGGACCAATTGAGACTATTAGAGGTGTATACGCGGTTGGGTTGAGATTTCTGAGCGTATCAGGTACCATGCAAATTGTGACATTAGTTTGTTCGAATTGACCCCGTCTTATTGATTCACCTTCTATCAGTAATCTGATAGACTCGTGAACGCTATTTCTTCCATAATCGCCAGCTTCTGCTCCCATGCTGATGACTGCAGACTTGTAGGATATAGCTACACGAATTGATCACAATAAACAAGGTTACAGATTACAAGCTTGAAAGAAGGAATAATCAACTTATCATGGTAAATATTTAATTAGCTAGCAAAATTTTGAGCGGAAGATGTACCTTGAAGGTAGCTTGAATATTAAATTTTGGCCCCATATCCATAATTGACGTAGTACATGGTACGAGTCCTGAGTGTTGGACTTCATATTAGTGTTCACATTCAGTCATATACATTCAAATATTAGAGGGCTTTGTTATAAATCTGAAGAAATAGACTTGCGCGCCTTGCTTTCATTAAAGCACACCTGATCACCCATCAACCACGATGCTGAAATGGTCGGGTTTTAGGACGTGACACATCCCCCCCCCTTGATGTTGAGATGTCATGGTGCCCCGTGAACCCTTTTATATGGGTGTGGTCATCCCTTCATGCACCCTCAACATTGTGCCAAATGGTGTTGGGGTGGTAGAAGGTCGTGAGGGTCGGCATCACACATCAAATTCTAGGTGCCAAGTGTGAACACGCATAAGAGGTAGTTACCCTCCTAAGTCATTTTCCCTTTGAGTTACCGGTTAAAACATATATTAGCCGGTAATATTGGTGTAATTTAAACAGTTAAAATAAGTTAGTTGCTTTATTATGTACAAAAAAAAAGTTGCCAATATGTGAACACGAATAAAATGTAGTTAACGTCCTAAATCATTTTCCCTTATAATAACTAATTAGTACCAGATTCAACCGCAACAACAAACTAAGCACCATTAAATACCATCATTTAATGATGTGGTTACCTAAACCACACTAAAAGGTCATATCACGGCACCAACAAACACTACAAGAAAAATCATTATTAGTGACCAATTTTGTTAGTGACTACTAAAATTTGGTCTCTAACAAGATAATTTAGTCACCACACATTAAGTCGTCAATTAATTTTGGTAATCCTATAAATTTAATGACCAATTTTATGTGGTACCCACTAAATCGGTAACTAAACGGAGAATAAAATTAGAACATATTTCTTTCATATCATAACAACTATTGGTGACTAAAAATAATGGTCATTAAATTACAAAATAAAAAAGCAGGTACCGACCACAAAATAATCATCGCTATATATATATATATATATATATATATATATATATATATATATATATATATATATATAAATATACACACACACTAGTAGTGGACCCGCGCAATGCAGCGGCGGCAATCTGTTTCATTTTTAAAAGTAGTTTGTAGGCGGCAATTGCTTTTCTTTTGGCATGCTTCAAAACGTTTCGTTTCTCTAGCCATTGTTGTTTTTGCTTGAAGGTATAAGTTTGTTTCTTGTTTAGGTTAAAAGGAAAGTATTTAGTTGACGTTTATTTTCGTTTACATGAATAGTTTCGTGACAACAATTAGATTCTTTTCGACCTGTTTCAAATAGTTTTCTTTCAATCACTGACTGTACAATTAGATTCATTTTGACATGTTTCAAATATATTTAGTGTTTTAAATAGTTTTCTTTCAAATGTTTTTTTTAAACATGATTAGAATTTTATCATTAGAATTTTATCAACATGCAAGAATAACAAAAAAGTTACATGACTCGCTAAATCGGCAACATAGGTTAGTGATTGTTATTTTATTTAATAATCTTATATATTCTTGAAATATAAAAATCCTTTTATGTATTTTATTTTTTGTTTTACGAGTAAAACTTTTATTAACGTAATCCTTGTATTTACGCATTTTAGAAACTGAATTATAAAAGAATGATACATCCATAGTTTAAATAATTTGGTAAATATCTGATTTTAAGTTTTTTTGAACTTTAGGTTTGACGATTTTGAAATATGAAATAAATCAAATTTTATAAATTTTTTTATTGGAAAGACCATGAAATTACATTTAGAAAATTGAAATTCTAGTTTAGACTATAGGATTTTAGGAGAAAACAAAATTGAGCCAAACATAAAACAAATTTGAATAGTCTTTGTGTCGTTTATGTTTTTATAGTTAGTTATAAAATATGTATAATGGTATTTTTTATATCTATCAAAATATCTACGACTGTCATTATCATTCAGTTTGGAAATTCTAATAATTTAGATTAATTTATTTCAACATTTGACAACATAATGGTTTTTGATGTTTTTCTAACAATTAAATGATCCAAATTCACCATTTTTTCTCGATAGCAAAAACAAAGCTACATGCCATCTTTCATTTTTCTTTTATTGAAGCTTTTCTTTGGTTTACAATACTACATCTCAAACTTTTGTACAACTTTAAAATTTTAATAGATTTTGTTTATTTTCGGTTGTCAAATACATAATACATAAAAAAAATAATGTGATCACATCTTTTTTATTTGGTTTTCCACGTTTCCATATTTCATATTATACTATAGTTTTAATATATGTATGTTTCCTTAATTCATGTTAGCTTATCAAATTTGCCAGGGGAATTTGGGTTTCAATTTACTACCCTTTTGGATTTAAAAAGTCTGTAAATTTCACAGTTGTACTTAATGCCTTATAACTTGTATCTTGTCTTCTCAAATAAATGTAAAATTATAACAAACTTAAAAATATAAGAATAAAAATATGAAAGTTCTGAAAGAATAAATATAATGATATTAATGCAAGCAAAATCATGAATTCCCATGTTCAGAGTCTCAATGACTTTCTTACACCCTATTGTTTAAGCTTCCTGGAAATATATTTACTTAAAGTTTCCACTGTGGGCGTCCCAAGCTTTTCAACAGGGGAGATCCATTACTCTTCCAGACGGGTCTTTTGATTATCTGTACAGAAAACAACACACATCAAGTGTCCAACATTTAACAAAATAAGGACATCAAGACTTCCACCCATCAACCATCCTCGACTAAAATATCATATAATCATGACAAAGAATGCATGAAAAGAGAAAAGGACTTACTAAAAACTACAGAAAATAGAAATATACCTTATTCTTTTAACAAATATAGACTTTCCTTTTATTACTCTCATTTCAACCATAAATAAAATATATCTTTTTTTTTGTATTAAACCATAGTACTTTCAATGTACATTGCAATAAATGGGTGGCATGAAATAGTAATGTACTTTCAAATATAATCATATTTAGCCTGAAACATTTCCAGATTCCAGGTAGGAGAATACTAATAAAATTACAAAAAAAATGTTGATTTTTCCAGATACCTCACCAAACTCAGCAGCAGCAACATGTACTTTTAGACAACAACCAAGGGTTACACGATTTAGACCAAAATACCCTTGGCATATTTTCTTAAGTATTCCTATAATTTGAATTTATTTTGTTTGTATACCACATGACTAATTTGGTTCCGAGCAACTATCCCATGATGAGTTCAAGCCCAGGTTATGGACTCCAAGGGCAAAATTGTCAAGAGTTGACAACACCAGAGCTTTTAAACCATGAACTTTTACACGTCAGCAACATCATGTCATGTAATTTCACTATGAGCAGATTATTACAAAATAGATTCACAACAGATTCTTTGTTGATGTAACATCCGGATTCCCAGGTATATTATTTTATTCATTTATTTTTGGAGTTTGTGGAGGGACTTGGCGAGTTGGTGCTTAGACTTGCCGAGTAGGGTCACGAATTCTCATCCGGATTTATGATCGGACTCGGCGAGTTCATGGGTGGACTCGGTGAGTCCGCGTTGTTTAATGAAACCCTAATCTCTCGGGTTTGAGACCTATTTAAAGGCCCTTAGGGTCGTCATTTGCATCTATCAGTCCCTTGAGAGAAACCCTAGAGCACTTGAGCGTTTTGGGAGAGAGAGGAGGCCATTGTTGACCTTTGAAGTATTGTTTAGCAAGGAAAAGGAGGTTCTAGCCTAGAGGAAGCAAAGGAGGTGGACATTCTGTGGATTTGGAGCTCAAAGCATCACATTTGAGGTAATATTTTGGCTCTCCTTCTGTTGTTATGATGATCATACGAATTTAGGGTTTGTTGGACCCTTTATTGTCTAGATTTGATGTCCAATTAGTCCCTATTTGTGATGAGGCTTTAGATCTTGATCCATAGAGGTCCAGAGAGCATTACTCATCAAGCTTTATGAAGATAAATGGGGATTTTGACCATGGGTTATGATAAATGGGGCTAAAACATCATATAGGATCAAATAGATGTTGTTTGTGCATCAACATATGGACTTTACGTGATTATCATGCTTGGGAAGGTCGGATCTATGGATTAATGGAATGGATCTGACCTCAGGAGGTCAGTTTGGTTTGCGCATGGGATGGACTCGCCGAGTCAAAGAACAGACTCGGCGAGTAGGGTTAGGGTTTCCCCGTAAATCACACAGTTGGTGACTCGTCTGGTTAGGGAATGACTCGGTGAGCCAGAAGGGATCTAAAGGAAGTGAGTACGCGATGGAACTCGCTGAGTTGCCCGAAGGCACTCGACGAGTCGGGTTAAAGGTTGATCGTTGACCAGGGTTGACTAGTGTTAACTTGATACTAGTAATGACACAAAGTCAGGAAAGTATTAATGAGAGTTGTACTTATGATATAGGAGGACGATACGTTGGGAGATTGGGCACGAGTGATTATCCGACATCAGCGAGGTGAGTCTTCTCACTGACTTACCCGATGCGGTAATTATGTGTGACCGAAAGGTCTTATATGTATGATGTATATGTGATGTAAGTTATATGTGATATGTTATATGAGTATGATGTGAACCAGAAGGTCAAGATGATATGGACCGGAAGGTCAACAGAGTCTGGGATGGAAATCCCCTGAGACACTTTGATCGGAAGATCCTATGGCCTGGAAAGGCGTATGTGCAGTGTGTGGTATTTTGGGGAACTCACTTAGCATT